CCTAAGGCTTACATCTTTATTTATAATAAACCTAATTCTTGTTAAACAAGAAACTAATAAAATAAGAAATAAAATCAAAACTAATAAAGTAAGAAAATTGTATCGTATCAAATGAGGAAACTAAATAGCTAAATAATTCTATAATATTCTATACTAAATTAGAAAATTTCTAATCAACTATTAATTTCAAAATAATAAAATATATTTTTTTTTTAAATTTGGCCTGCATCAAAATGTCTCATGTCCACTGTATATGTTATGTACTTTTGTGATAAATGTTACGTAAATTTTATTAAAATTCTGGTAATTTGTAATTCAAAAATGAAATTGTACATTTTGTTGTAATGTTATGTATTTTTTGTGATAATGTTAAATACTTTTTTATTCAAACATTTCTAACAAAAAATGTATAGCATTATTACAAAACACTTAATTTCATTTATGAATCACAAATTATTGTAATTTTACTAGAAAAAATACATAACATTTATCACAAAAATACGTAACATATGTCACAAAAAAGCTTAAATGGTATATACACTACACACAATTTAAAGAGTGTGTACTATAATATTATCTAAAGGAAAAATAGTTCAATATATGTATGATTTAAAAATAAATAAATAAATAATTATGTTCAACTGGGGAGAACCTATATTGTTGAATTGAATAGAAAAGCATTTCATGAATTTCATATTGATTGACAATTAAAAATTGGTCAATATATTATGATGGGCTGGCAGGATGAACCTTCTAAGTTTAATGAAGGCTAACACCTGAGGTAGTTAAACCAAGCTGGGTGGTGGTTCACTATGAGGTCGGTGAATCCACCATTTTTCGGGGGGGTGCAATTAACTATGATATCCAATGCTTAAAATATATATATATATTCTACTTTGAATGATAATCTAAGAGAAACTAGCATAAACAATTAGCTATCTCTCTAGCTTTGTCAACTGATCTGATCGGATTAATTTTTGGATCTGATGTCTAGATAAATTTGATTGAAGATTGTTGCTTTCCACAATTGTACGAGTTTTTTGATTTTTTAATGATTGAATGCCTGAGGGTAATTGAATGCACTTCGTGAGAATTGAACCTGAATCCTAAATAGAGCACAACCTTAGATTCTAAACTGCACCCACTAAACTAACCCCTTATAGTTTATACTCTTTTTTTTTCAAATGTAATTTAGTATTAATTAAAAAAGAACTTCACGATATAAATCTTTTATCATCTTTTAAGATTCACATTCATTTTATTAAATTTTTTATTTAATCTAATGTTTAAGAGTATATTAAAAAATATATATATATATATATATATAATGACAAAATATCATTAGTATGTGAATTATTATTATTATTATTATTATTATTATTATTATTATTATTATTATTATTATTATTATTATTATTATTATTATTATTATTATTATTATTATTATTATTATTATTATTATTATTATTATTATTATTATTATTATTATTATTATTATTATTATTATTATTATTATTATTATTATTATTATTATTATTATTATTATTATTATTATTATTATTATTATTATTATTATTATTATTATTATTATTATTATTATTATTATTATTATTATTATTATTATTATTATTATTATTATTATTATTATTATTATTATTATTATTATTATTATTATTATTATTATTATTATTATTATTATTATTATTATTATTATTATTATTATTATTATTATTATTATTATTATTATTATTATTATTATTATTATTATTATTATTATTATTATTATTATTATTATTATTATTATTATTATTATTATTATTATTATTATTATTATTATTATTATTATTATTATTATTATTATTATTATTATTATTATTATTATTATTATTATTATTATTATTATTATTATTATTGCATCTTTGTATGATTTTATTATTATTATTATTATTATTATTATTATTATTAGGTATAGAAACACACTATAACACATTAAAATTTCATAAGTAAAGATTTATGGATGAAATAATTTTTGAGGAACGACATATTTTAATTATCAAAAGTATTATTGTCATATTTTTAACGAAAAAATAAATATTTAGTAATGAATTATGATAAAAATCAAAATTTTCATATCAAAAAATAAATTTTTTAACACGGTTATTTTATCTCTAAAATACATTTATTAGTAATATTTAGGGTAAATTACACTTATACTTCTGATATTTGAGTTTAATACATATCACTCCTTAACATTTGAAAAATTACACTAACCCCCTGTCATTGTAACTATTTAGACGAAATGAAAACATTAAACTTATACACTCTCTCTTTTCTTACTTTGTTTTACTTCCTCCCCCCCTTTTTTTTTTCCTTTCCTTTGCCTTATTTTTTTTTTTCAATGTAATTTTTTATATTTTTCTACTAGGAGTTGTTGTCTTTTATATAAATAGAGAATTTGTGAAATAAAGACTATTAGCCACAGGAGTATAAACGTAATTTCTAGAATGTCAGGGGTGGAATGTAATTGAACCAAATTTCAAGGGTGTTAGTGTAATTTATCCTAACATTTTTAAAGATCATTTTTTTACTTTTCTAGACGACTTTTTTTGTGATGATTCATATGATAACATAAATTGGTCTCCTAATGTTTTGCAATAAAATTTTTATTTTTCGGAACGAAATATCTCTAAAATCCTTATATGTTATAATAACACAAAAATCAGTCATAGAATTATATATATACATAAATAAGATTTTTTTTGAAATAGGTCCATCAAATTCTATATAAAATCTTATCTATTCATATATTCTACTAGTTTTTATTACAACAACAATGTTAGGTGATCTGAAAAATCATGACTCGAATGGCTTGAATCACTCAAAACGACGTCGTTTTGAGTATAAAACAACGTCATTTTGACACATTCGAGTTATTTGAGTCACATAAATTCGGACCACCAAGCATTTTTCTTATTATAATTAGGCGAGAAATAAGGGAATGGGAAGTTATAACAGTTCGAAGCAACTTGAGGCTTTTCCCAATATAAGCCATTTTTCCATTGTATTTCCAAAACTAGGCCAACTTCTGACGGATTTTCAAAACTAAGTTAAAGCGCCATTACTATTCGCGCTTTTACTGTTAGAAGCGCAAAAGTAGATGAACAGGAAAATCGCTATTACAAATAGCGACTTTGATTAAGAATTCGCTATTACAAATAGCGCTTCTAGCGTTAGTTTTTGTCCGGATAAAAACGCTTTTCTTAACAGCGCTTTTTACCCAAAAACGCTATTTCTAATAGCGATTTTAACAAAAAAAATTTCCCAGAAAAAACGCTATCTCTAATAGCGATTTCAGTTCAAATTTTGTTGCCAAAAAAACGCTATTTCTAATAGTGATTTCAGTTAAATGAAAACGCTTTTTCGATCAGCGTTTTTAAAGTCCTCATATATACCAACGAACCCCCCCTCATTTGCATACGTTTTTCAGATTTTCAGACTTAGGTTTTTCGCTCTCGCTCTCGCTCTCGCTCGCTCTCTCTCTCTGCTCTCGCTCCTCCATCTCAGCTCGCTCTCGCTCTCTGTCTCTGCTCTCTCTCTCTCTCCGTGGTATGACATTAACCCTAATTTTATGTATTTAGTTTTTGTGTTTGTAAATGTGTTGTATTTTTCTGTCAATGTTAGGGTTTTACTTGTGAATTATTAAATGTGTTAGGGTTTTTATCATTGTGGTTATGAAATTAGGGTTTGGAATTTTTTGGCATACGGGTTAGGGTTTTTCTGTCAATGTTAGGGTTTTTAAATGTATTTGAATTTTTTGGAATCAGGGTTAGTTTTTGAATTTTTTGGAATTATTAAATGTATTTTTCTGTCAATGTTAGGGTTTTACTTGTGAATTTTTTCAAATTCATCATGTGTTGACGAATTTAAAAAGTTTAAAAAAAAAAAAAGAAAAAAAAAGACAAACATAAAAATCACTTTTGGATTTTTGTCCTTTCTGAATTTTTTTCAAAAGAAATTACTTTTCCAATCTATCTTGTCAAGTAGAACTTAAAGTGTAAAAGTTGTTTTTGAATTTTGAAAAGAGTTTTGAGTTGTGTGTTTAGTTATGAGTTTTGAAAATTAATGATTATAGTTTGAAATGAGTTTTGAGAAATGGGTATAGAATTATGATTTAAAAGCTGCAACCAAATACTACATTCAAATCAGTGGTAAAACTATGTTTTGAAATCTAAACCAAACAGAGCCTAAAGTTTTTTAAAATTTTAAAAAAATACTAAAGAAAACCAATAAAAAGTCATTAAAAAAATCAACTGTAAACACTTAAAAAATTAAAAAATAAAAAAACGCTAAAAAAATTCAACCCCAAATGCGCAATTAACTCTAAAGCAATGAAGTCAATGTAAAAAGTGTATGTATCAAAAATAGAGAAGTTTAAAATTAGGTAATGAATTCCGAAACTAGGACAAAAATGGACAAGTTCGTAGAATTAAAGTTGTAGAAAAACCGGCGGCGCAATAATATTTCAAAAACTTGTGCCAAACGAGTTTTGCAATTAAAATGTGTAAAGAATTTAACTTGTTTTGTCGGATGAAAAATGATGATAAATTACCTAATTACAATTAAGGTTCGCTGTGTAGACCTATGTGAGAATTAGAGCATTTAGTTTTGGACTTGTCAACCCATCATAAATCCTATTTTAATAATTTAAGATGTTCATTTGTTAAGTGTTAGTCTGAATAATTCTAAAAAACACATTATTTTGATTCAATAAACATAATCACATAGTTTTGAAGTATTTAATTTAAAAAGATGAGTTGTTATCATCATATTTGTTATTCATTTTTTAAAAACAAATGCGTTGAAAGTATATGATTATACTTATCAAATCAATATATATATATATATATATATTTGAAGAATGTTCTACATATAAATACATAAAAATAAACGATTTAAATTATTAAATCTGAGTTCACAATGTTCAGTACATGAGTCCACAGTAGCTAGTTGCATGTATATTACAATTATGAGATACATAAATTACACCATTGTTCAGTCACAAGTGCAAGACTTGCACAACCAGAGAGGGAAAGAAAATTAGGGAGCAAGATCGAGAATTTCAGATTCAGATATGCTTTATCCTTGAATAAAACTAGAAAAACTTAAGAAAATACCGGACAAACAAGCCATGAAAGCATATTACCCAACAAAACTAAAAATTAACGTATCACAGCTACCTAAAATTTACAGTGTGCACACCATCACTGTACAGGAAACTCGATTGCTTTTCAATGAAGCAATCAAGGTCTCAGTCACCAAGTAATAAGATGATCACGAAATTTCAGTCACCTGCAAACCGCTCCAATCAATTAGTAAGAATTTCCATCATAGAATCTATCCCTGCTTTGGCCATGATCGGTGTGGTTGAAACTTTATATACAACTGCACTGTGTGTATTGTGTGGTGCTGATCTTCTAAGCAGACTGCAAAGTCACCGTCTCAGAAGCAGTTTTCTCATACTCTGCACAAGCCTCGGGGGTGTCTTCTTTACTAGGTGGAACCAACTGCCAAAATAGCGGTAGATATTTGTCCCACTCCTTCAAAATAGAAGAGCCTATGCCATTCCCAGTTTTTTCCTTCATCAAAAGCAAAACAAGCTGTTCATCGAACTAAGAACCAAATACACATATCAAATGCTTGTTTCTACATTGACATATAAAATCTTAAAATGTGCAGGAGCCAAAAAAAAATAAAAAAAATAAAAATCGACCCAAAGGCAATCTAGAACTTTAGTCATTGCAGGCAATAGGCATAAGATTGGAAATTGGTAAAAGAACACGATTACAAGATCATGGCAAATATTTTCCAAAAAATAAAAAGCTTTGACAGGTAACAAGAATTTCATAAATAATTTGGCAACTGAACTTGAATTTTTGACATTTCAAATAACTAGTAACTTACAGAAGACAATAATCAGGATAGTCCAAAGAATGCAAAAGGCATTTTATCGAGAATTTGAATGTGTTACCATGTAACTGCATTTTGTGTTGTGTATGTGTGGTCATGATCATGCAGTTCATGGTGCACTTACAACATGGGCTTCAATCAGGTTCTTTAGCTGCATCTGCCCCACAGGTGCAACCACTCTCTGGATCTTTACAATTTCCTTATTTACCTGGTCCACAATTATACAAGCCATGACTTGAGAATCAACAGACTAAAAACTAACATTACTTTGTGGAAAATAAAGCACTAATGACAAAGCAAGTGCTCAAACTAGTTGTACAAAAATGGGGATTTTGTATGTTAGCATTTGTTTCATGGGTAATTAGTCCCAGAGCACCACATGGCATTGCCTATGTAGTGCCCCAAACCAATCTCGTAGTGGAAAATTTTACAAGTGAGACATGCTGACTCACCTTTGTTAGGTAATTAAGAGGCAAAGGTTGACCCCCATAATGTGGGTTGTGGTTTTTCTTTTCCCACTATAGTGGCTTCCTCGGGGCCGAACCCGGTATTCTCAACGGGAGTTACAACCAATTCCCCTCCAGCCATACCCTGGAAATTAACTGCTAGTGTCAGATTTTACAAAATGCTATAGAACGTGGAAAAGGCAATGACTGTTCAAACCTAAAAAAATCAAACTCCACTAAAATGGCAAGGTAGCTTGACCAAAAATAACCAACTTTACATTTCATTAGCATAAATGTATAGTTGTATCAATATGAACTAGTTGAATTGAACTTGATTGATCAATCACTTTCATACTACAATACAGTGTCAACCCAACAACACTCCACTTTTGAGTGAAATAAGATTACCTTTCCCACATAGTCGTTAGCTTCTCCCACCAGCCGAATGTTCATTCCAGGTGTCAGAAAACAAGCAAATGACTGTCCAGCACTCCCCAAGAATCTAATACATCAAGACAATTTCTGATTATTAATGGGATTGCACTAAACTGAGCAGACAATGCCAATCCCACACACAGAATACCACAAAGCAAAAACCTACGTTATATTCAGCTGCCCAGTAAAACCATTGTCACCATATTTCTTTGCAACTACACCTGCTATATGCCCACAAACTGCACGGTCCACTTTGTATATCTTTATGGTTTTATTGACAACTTTCTTATTCTCAATTGCATCTGATATCTGCATGAAAAATGAAAATTTCCTTAGATTGTGACCAGTGACCACAATAAGGAAAATAGAATAATGATGCTAAAAGAAACTAACAAAACAATAAACTACTTTGGAAGCAAAACTTTCAAAAACAACTTTCAAGAACTATTGCCACCAACAATTACTTACACTTTCAACTTTCAACCCATAAAAATTAATCTTAGTCATTAACAAAATTCAACAACCATGTTATCATGGTGATAGAACTTCATATCAAGCCTTTCAGTTAGAAGTTCTGGTTACACACTTATGCTTATTAGTTGGTAGTATTAGTTTTTTAGCAATTGCCCTGTAATTCAAAAAAAAATAAAATAAAATAAAATAATTTGATTGAAAGTGCAGAAATCCTATTATGTTCATTGCTTAATTACAAACTGTAATCAAATAATTGTTTACCTCTGGATCAGAGAGTAAAATATCATCCAAAACAGGGCCATTACTATGAACATCCTGAAGCCTGATTTGAGTACTGCTCTACTTTGGTAATCCAACACTGTCAAAAAACGAAATGTAAAAAGGTATATTTTACATACACAATAAGGCAAGAACAAGTGAATGTTGAGATGATAGGGAAAACGCACAACTTTTTGGATACATACACCGAGAATATAACTGAGATCAAGATGCTGTGTTTTCATCAACGTTACATCTAGTGGTCCTAGTAGATCTGTTCGGCCAATTATGTCACCCAACTTCTCATAGCCCAGTTGTGCCAAGATGCCCCATACCTGACCCGAAAACATAAAGTATCGATGACCATTGTTGAATAGATAGTGGGCATAGCAAAACTTAAGATATCAAAATTTGTAGATAGAATAACAGGTGGCACACCAACAGGCCTAGATAGATTCACAAAATTAGAGTGGAAAATTGAGCCGAGAACAGAATTGGCTTATGATGCTTTTTTTTTGGGTGAATTAATTGATCTTAGGATTTGACACATAATCATAATCAAAATTTGAATTTTATTACCAATTATGAAAAAATTGGATTCACTTAATTAAGAATGACGATCAAATTGTTTGTGGTCCACATTTCAAAATTCAAAAACTTCCATGCTTGCATTTTTTAAGATAGCTGGTCCTCTGTAATAAAAAAATAAAAAAACAGCACGTCCCCCAAAGTCGACCACTTTTGTTCTCCTCCTCACAGCACCTTACAAACTTATATTCGCCCTTTCCAGGAAAGCAACTTTTTTTTCCTAAAGTCCACCAACTGCATAATGCAATATGGAAAACTTGAAAGTAACTTCAAACCCCATCTATATTGTATTAATTCTCGTTTTCCAGTACCCTCCAACCTTAACTGGTTAGATTTCTTTCTCCAGTCCCCATTGTTTATGCGGTGATCCTTATTGCAAATAGTGGATTTGATCCCTATTGTTTCCATTGTACCGTCTAGCTTTAGCAGGTGAGGAATCTTTATTTTTGTTATTCTTTTGTTTTTTTAAAGTACACATAATATTGAAACATCCAATTTAAATCACCATCAAACTCTCTCTCTCTCTTTCTCTCTCTCCTTCCACTTTTTTTTCCAATCTTAGCCCAAACCCTATTTTAGAAAGAATTTCATGAACCTTAGGTGGAGATGAACAAATTTTGATTTGCTGCGATGCTAAGAGTTTTTTTATTGGATGATTACTGCAATATGTTCTATCACCAGCAATGAGTTTTTATTCATTGCCATGTTGTGTATTCAAAAGACAGGTCAATCGGTGTCGTTTGGTAACACTTACGTTTTCAGTTTTCTGTTTATATTTAGAAAAATTTTAAAAACTCAAATAAAAACTTGTTTGATAAAATTTTTGATTTATAAATCAGTGGTCTAAGTTTATAAATTTGGCCAAAAATGAAAACACAAAAAATGTGTTTTCGTTTTCAGTTTTCAGTTTTCAGTTTTTTTTTTTTTTACCACCCAACACTAGCCACCATCTGCCACCATTTTCCACCACCGTCTTCCGCCACCACCACCCACCCCCCACCACCACCTGCCACCACCACTCACCACCCACCTGCCACCACCACCCACCACCCCCCGCACCATCCACCAGCCCCACACCTGCCACCTCGATCGCCTCCACGCATCGTAAGTGTGTGGCGCTGGGCACCCCTCATCCGCCGCACCGCAACGCCGGCCATCCACAACCGCCACCGTACTACCGATCCACCGCACGCGCCGGTCATCACCGATACACGCCATCGTACTTTTGCCACCACCACTCAACCACCCACTTGCCACACCATCCAACCACCTGCCCACCCCCCCCACCGACCCACCGCCACCACCCAGCCCTTCACCAGCCAACCCACCCACCGCCCCCACGCCACCAACCCCTGCCACCACCACCCACCACCCACCACCACCACCACCACCCGCCACCTACTCGCCACCTACCCACCATTCACACTTGCCACCTACCCGCACCACTACCCACTTGCCACCACCACCCGCCTCACACGCTACCACCCACCACCCGCCACCATCACCCACGCCCCCGTCACACCACCGCCACCACTCGCCACCACCACTCGCGCCACCCCCACCGCCACCACCCACCACCGCCACCACCTGCCACCACCACCCGGCCACCATCCACTCGCTACCACCCTACGCACCACCCACCGTACCACCACCACCGCACCACCACCACCCGCTAACCTCACCACCACCATCACACTTTCCACACCGTCTTCTGCCGTCACATTGCCACCACTGCATTAACTCACTCTTTTTTATATTTTTAAAATTTTTTAAACATTTTGTCAATTACCAAACGCGTTTGTAGTTTATGTTTTTCTAAAAATAAACAAAAAATAAACAAAAACGAGTTTATAAAATTTTTGTAAATATAAACTGAAAACGTAAACGTTACCAAACATACGGTCTATCACCAAATATAAACTGAAAACATAAACGTTACCAAACATTTGCTGCGATGCTAAGAGTTTTTTTATTGGATGATTACTGCAATATGGTCTATCACCAGCAATGAGTTTTTATTCATTGCCATGTTGTGTATTCAAAAGACAGGTCAATATGTAATCAGGAATCTAGTGTCAAAATATAAGACAGATGTAAAAAGTTCACCCAATTACATGACATTATTGACAAATTCCAATCCCATGGACCATTTATTTTTTGATAAACAAAATTTATTAAACGAGCTTCAAGAAGATGCCAAAAAATACAAGAGTGTTGAAATGTGTCTCACATCGCCTGGAGTTGCCCCATCTGTGTTGATTATAAGGCTCCAATTTTCCTCTCTTTAATACTTGAGTTTTAAGGAGAAGTGTGAGTTGGGCTTTTCAATTTGGTCTTAGAGCTTTGTTAGGCCTGTAATTGGTGTGCCGTTTATCCGGCTATTATATGTTGTGGTCCAAAAGGATATGTTGGAATGTGTCTCACATCATCTAGAGTTGCCCCATGGTTAGGCCTGTGATTGGTGTGCCGTTTATCCAGCTACTGTATGTTGTGGTCCAAAAAGGTGTGTTGGAATGTGTCTCACATCGTCTGGAGCTGCCCTATCTATGCTGATTATAAGGCTCCAGTTTCCCTCTCTTTAATACCTGGGTTTTAAGGAGAAGCGTGGGTTGGACTTTTCAATTAAGAGAACACCAAAAAAGGGGAGACCTAACCAATCAAATCATCTACAAAATCCAAAATAGTAAACAAATCAGGATCCACCCTCCTAGACACCCAACTATACAAAACTGCAAATAACCTATTCTCCAAACATGATAACAAACAAGCAACCCCCTGAAAGATACGACGGTTGCGCTCTAACCAAATCAACCCCATCAAGCATAATAGGGCACAAGTCCAAATAAAACTCAAGAAATTGGTTATTGTTAAGATTAGATGAAGGGTTGTTGTGTAATTGTCTACTTATCACTTATTGATATAAATATACCTAGTTAGAGAGGACAAACTAATTTTTGATTAGGTTTTGTGCCTCCTAACGTTGTTCTTCTCTCATCTTCTCTGTTCTATCATCTTCTTCCTTCTTTCTTAGATTTCTTCTTTTATTTTTAACTTGGTATCAGAGCGGTACACAATTTATGTGTTCTTTCATTTTCCTGGTCTATCCTTTCACTATTCGATAATGTAAAATAAATAAATAAATAAAAATTAAAATCCCAGCATGCTCGACTAGGGCTGGGGATTGCCCAGAAATTTTTTTTAATTTTTTTGAGATCTTTGCCTATTTTTTGATTTTTTCTTTATTTTTGAGAATAATGGATCATAGTTTGTTTTCAAGGAGCCGACTAGGCTGTTTAGAACCTTCCTTGGCTTCAGTTTTCACTTCTGGGATATTTTTTGGTTGTTGGTCCTTCTGGTTCATTCGGGTGCTGTTTGGGTTGTTTCTGCTGCTGTTTGGGCTTGTTTCTGGTACTTCTTGGTTGTCTTTGGTGAGATTTTTACTTCCAGACAGAGTTTTGTTCTCTGTTCATCTCAATTTTCATCTGGTTGTGTGGTCTTAACTAATGGTTGCTGAAGGTGTCATCCATGCCAACAATGAGACTAAGAGTTTAGGTCCTAGTGTGATGCGTGGTGATAACTCTTCTCTTCAACTTACTTTTGTTAAGTTGGATGGCACCAATTACTTGGTATGGTCCCATTCCTTTCAGTTGACTATTACTGCTCGTGGCTAGTTGGGATACATCAAAGGCATTACTCAGGCTCCCACGGAGGATAGACCAACACGTGACAAATGAAATAAGGAGAATGCTTTGGTTATGACCTGGTTACTCAATTCTATTCATTCTAATATGAGTCGGTCTTTTGTTTTGATGGACACTGCTCATGAGATTTGGACTATTGCAAATCAAATGCATTACCGACAAAGTAATAATGCTCAGGCCTATGAACTACGGAAAAAGATTTGGGATTTTGATCAGAAAGACAAATCTCTCACTAAGTATTATTCAGAGTTGAGTAGTTTATGGCAGGAACTTGACTATTATCAAAAT